TGCCAGGGCTGCTGGCCACAGCCCGCTGCGCGCCCCCGAAAGCCTCGGACCGCTCCCAGCCCGCACAATTAGCAAATGTATTCCAGCAAAAAAACCAGGGATCTCTGCAGCTTTAGTACAACTGTATGTACCAGGCTGCGTTTAATTCTCCTCTTTACTGCTGTATGTATTCTTGTCCTGAATCAGCAGAAGTGGGCATGTTAGCATGCATCTCTTCTGGCTTACGCTTCAGTTGGTCTGCCATTCATCTCTGCCCTGGAACAGAGCAGCTGCTTCATAACATGGTCCCAACTGCCGTGTCAGCAACTGCGCATGTGCTCGATACAGACATAGGGATACTTCATTGGCAGCCTAAATGGCTAAGAACAGTCAGTCAAATGCTGTTCCAAATGTGCTGGGATTTGCCCAGCAGTTTAGGCCAGGATGTGAAGAATCTCATTTACTTAGCAGAGTGAGCAGCCTGTTCTGTTCTATGGAGAGTTTCATACTGCCTTCATTACCTCGTATGTCTTCTAGATTAAAGACTTCGGAGGGATGAGATTTACATATGTCCTATGTGGTTTCTTCTCTCTCTCTCAGCCTGTCTCTTGGGGGGAGAGCTGTTTGTGCAAGGGAATAATATATTTTAGCAGGGTGGTTTTTTTTGTAAGGTGTTCATAATAGAGCAGATGGGTGGAAGACGTGCCCTTGGAATGGAAGGTCAGGAAGTCGGAGACTCAGTTCTTGAGGGAGTTCATTCCGCAGGTGGGGACTGGTCCCCAAAGACAGCTCCGTCTCCATCACAGATGAGTACATTATATTCCACTGGGTCTGAGGAGCTGTCAGTCAGAGCCTTCATCCATATCTTAAGCTCTTAAAATATACTAGGTCCAGGCTGTGAAGTATGCTGTTTGTCATTGCAGGCTAATTGCCAGACAAATTCTCCTAAGCAAAAAGAGCCACAGCAGGGAACAGGCACCAATAAACGAGAGATACTTCAGCCAAGATGAGAGGAGCACAGAGATCAACTACTCAGAGCAAAAATGACCCTGGGAAGCCCTGCCACCATGACAGGAGGGAACAAGAAAGAGGGACAGAGATAGCTCCTCTCCGTAAATCCCATTTAATGAATACATGCTTATATTTATAGCTTTGAGTGTTCCCCCAGGCTCCTTCAGCTGGATATACACAGGCAGATCCCTGCACCTACAAAGAAAAGCTCTCTGCGTGGGTCCAGGATCTGGATGAGGATCAGTGCAATAGCATAGAGTGCTAGTGAGTTCACACTCACACAAAGAATGGCAACATTTGCAAAGTGCTGAGCAGGGTGGGGTGGTCCTCACCAGAGATCAGAGGCTCTTTCGTCTCAGGCAAGGCAGAAGCAAAGAGTACTTTGAAAATAGGGACCTGTTCTCCCTGTCCCTTCCTGCCCTTCCTAAGCCAGGAGAGGTCAGCAGAGCTGCAGGAATGGGGCCTGAATGATAGCTGGGGAACCAGATGCAGGAGTGCAATGCAGAGAAATAAGGCACAGGGACTGTAACATGCACAGGAACAGGTATCATACAGAATGGGAGACCCTATGCTATCCAAAGAGACCCATGACAGTATGTGTTCTACCCCCAAACTAGCCATTTGTTCCAATAGGGAGACCTTAGCACTTCTTATACAGGACAGGACAGCGGGAGCTGGGTGAAACCAGTCACTTCCCCTTTTAATGTATTATAATTACAGAAGATCTTGGCTGGAGATCATCTCAGAGGCCTAACAGTGAGCCATTCTTAACAGCAAGAGGATGAAGTAGTTACTTCAAGGATGGCACAAGATGGGATTGCCATTTCTTGAGACATTTGAAACAAGACTCATGCCAATGTCTGCGGAGGTGTCTTGGCTGGGAGATGAGAAAGCAAGGACAATGCAGCATCACTGGATCTCCAAGCTAGTGCTGGGGAAACTCTATTACCCTACTGAAGATTGATGTAGGAGCACAAGATACAGGTGCTGGAAAGCTGCAGACAACTGCTTTTTTTTTTTTTTTTTTTTTTTATAGTCAGTATGGACTGTCCTAGGGATTGGGACAATCAAGGTGCAGGCCAGTTGTTTATATGCAGCTGCAGGCTGGAACAGATGAAAGGCAAGGAGTCTCTTCATTGTACCCATTTCTTTTTTATTGTTCAGCTAGGGAGTTATGGTGGGATCAGTTCAACGCTGCCTGCAGAAGATGGCTGGGGCACAAAACCAGGGGGTTTTGTATAGCCCTCCAGCCCAGACAAATTAGTGCCATAAAAAAAGAAAATAATTTTCAATCCAGGTAACATTAAGGTTCTTCACCTGAGTGGAAAGTTGCAGGGGTGGGGCTAAAGTGTCTCACAAAAGCTTCACAGGGCATGAGATGAAGTCCTGCTCTGGACTTCTGCCAAAGGCTGCCTGTAGTTGACCCAGCTGTGATTTGCAGCTAGTCATTCATGGTGGGAGTCAGAAGTGGCTGGACATGATGGTCCACATGATGGTGGCCACATCCCTCCCTGCAACACCATTTACAGTGGAGAGTGGTTCGCTTGGCTGTGGCACACTGTATGGGCTGTTTGGCTTGGATCATCTTTGGGATTTTGACCCGGGTAGGGTCTCCTTGCATGTAGGAGGAACCAAATCCAGACTGAATCCAGGGCAGAGCTGTGAATGGAACCCAGGAGAACAGCTGCCTCCTCCAACACCCCAAGCTCTAGACAACACCCCCGCCTTCAGCTGTGGGTATAGAAGTAGTGCATGGGATGCCATACCTGAGCAGAGGAGTGGGCAGGAGAGTCAGAGCCTCTACCACCTGCTCCACATCACCTTGTCTTCAGTAGCATTGCACAAGCGTTTTTGAGGCAACACTTGTGTCTCTCCTCTTCTGGACATCTCCCTCTCTCTTCTCATCTTTTAGGAATAAAAGAGAACAAATAGCTCAATTTTAGAACCAGATTTAGAAACCATTTGGGCCTTGAATCAAACCAGCCTCATCTCCGAAAAGGGCAATTATTCCCCAAACTCTCTTTCTCCAACAGAACAATGACAAAGTACTCAAAGATGGGGAATCGATAACATCCAGTCACAGAGGCTGCTAATGGAGCTATCTAAGTCCCATTAGTCAGCTACTTGACCATAACTCACTCTGAAACCTGACCACAGGGCTGGATCTGTCTTACACTGGTGAAATGATGGTGTTACTCTCCTGAAGTCAATGAGAGTTACTGCAACCAACCTAAATCTGCAACAGAGATGAGAATCCAGTCCATGGTATTTAATGCCATCCACCCTTGTTATCTTCAGCCTCCCTTTTTATTTCAGCCATCTGCCACATCAATGGCAGCCCAAAGAAACAGCATTTTGTTTCTTGATGGGGTCGCAAATGGACTATAGTGGAGATTGGTAGGGGAACATTAAATGCACAGTCTTCACTAAATTACTCTGTGTAGGGCACAGAAAGCAATAGAAACTAGGCTGTTTGCTTGTTGGGTGCCACTTGGCAGCTCCAGATTTGCATTTAGCTCCATTATTTTCAAGGGTTGGTTCAGAGTGCTTTCAAAGAGAGACTGATTCCCACTATGGGCACTTGCACTGCAGCCACATTTGAAATGAATGGAAATAGAAGCTTGGAGTAGGACTGCTGGACACTTGGGCACTGTTGCTATTCTGTGGGCATTTCAGCTCTTCCCTCTCTGTTATTAGTTAAAGCATCTTGTGTTGGTTATTGGAGGTCGCTGTGTGTTTTTGCAGCAGAGCAACTCTGGCATTAATAAGTGTGTCACCGGAGCTGATTGTCTAAATCAGCTGCCAATGAGAGCAAGGCAGTTCTAAAATCTCCCATGTGGCACAGTGGCTGCCAGCAATCAAGGGTAATAGGAAATCTGCTTGAGAGAGAAGCCCCAAATTACATCTATGCAGCAGTGTCAGAAGAGACTCGAGCACAGTGGAAAGGCCCCGAGCTGGCATGAGGACTGAGAAGCAGGGCAAAGTAACCAGCACCTAGCTCTATCCTGCTAGACTGTTCCTGGGACCCATGCCATTTGAATTAAAGCTAGCTCTGCTTTGCCATGAGTCACTAGGCTGGATTTAAAAGTGACCTAGCAAAGAAAGGCAGTGCATGTCACTGACAACCCTCCATTTTGGAGAGGCTTGAAATAAATGCAATTCCTTCTCCCAGTTTCACCAGAATCAAGCCCCAACTCCCAAGGTATGTAACCTGCTTACATGCCTTGGGATCTCTTCATTATCTGTGGCTTCTCTAATTCAACTCACATCTGCTATGGAAGAGCAGAAGGCTGCAGGGCATCAAAGGCAGCATGATGCAGTAGAAGAAAGCAAGATCCCACATTCTGATCATTTGGTTTTTTCTTGTCTCCGTTTCCCCTCTTGAATGTCCAGATGTGACCATTCCCTATGCCATGCAAATGTCCCACCCAATGTCTGGTTAGTGCTGATGTGAAATGGATGTGGCAGGTCCCAGGCCAGTTCCCACTGGGTGCGGATATTTCCCACTAAAATCCCCTTCTGAGGCTGGTGTCTCAGTTGGGGCCTTGCTGAGCAGAGCAGGGCTGCTTCTGAAATGGGCCATAGGAAATAAAACCCTTCATGCCTACAGGTAGTGCTTCTGAGTTATGATGGAGTCACCATGGCAAGGCAGAGCATGGGCAGTGTGTGCTGCTGTTATTGCTGCCCATGCCAGACCAGCTCTTATTAATGGTTATTGGTATTGTGATAGCCCCCAAACATTTCATCCCCACTGTGCTCTACTTCACAGAGACCTCATGAAGCACTAGGGAGTATGCTGTTGCTACTCTTGTGTTACATGGAAGGAGGACCAATGCTAGGGGAGCAGTGCCAGCATGATACCATACCATGGACAGGTAGAGACATATAAAGGACAGCCCCGCACCCCAAAGAACTCATGGTCAAAGTAGTGAAGGGCCTTTCTCTGGAGAACTGTCCCCAGCAAGAGTCAGAGAAGTCTTTTGTTTTAAAAGCACTAATTGTTGCTCTGCTGAGATGAGGCAATTATTTATTTTTTCCCATCCATCTTTTGCATAAAAATAAAAAAAAATGCAAAATCTCTCTTTTATACGAAAAGTTAACTCTCCCAGGGTTGCAGGTGCAGCTGAGCTCTCCTCATGCTGTCTGGGAGGAAGTGTTGTAGGAAGCTTTCTTCAGGGTCTCCAAAAAGAACTGTTCGTCTTCCAAGAAATCTCGGTCCTGGGGAGAGAGGAGGGAAGGTCCACCATCAATTGTGCCTGGAACTTGTTGAGGGGAGACTCCAGATACCCACAGACCTAGCAGCTAGGGGTGGCTGGGTAAAGGATATGTCAGATGAACATCAACAAAGCAGCCAAACTCAAACCTTGAAAGCTGAATGCATCAGAAAGAGCAGCTACTTATCTGAGGGTAACTGGGATTCTGAAAAATGTCTTGTCTTCATGAATCCTACTGAGGGTGCTCACATGTGAATTTCACATGTGTGAGATGCCCATGTGCCTTTAATGGGATCTACACAGACAAGGACTCTAAGGGTGTTCCCTCTCCCCCCCAGAATGAGTGAGGCTTTTCAAAAGGGTCAATCCAGAACCCTGATTAAACAGGGAAGCTGATGGAAGAGCAGATGAGTGAGTGGAGAATGTGGAGGGGACAGACACCCCAGGGGATCACAAGGACAGGAATGAATTACCTTTACCCGATGGTCTCAGAGATCTCGATAGAGGAACATCCCTTCCTTTGTGGGGCCAATGAGGTTATCAAAGGTGACTGGGAGCCCAGCTGGAGCAAGTCAGCTAGTCAGTAGCTCTGAAGACCTGGCTATCTGATCATTTATGGCTGCAGTGGCTTTTATTTGTTCGTTTGCTTCTCTTTGAAGCAAACTGGGAAGCACTGCATATCTGCCTCTCAAAAGACCCTTTCCCACTACAGCACAGAACAAATGGGTTTACTGCCCAGTCATGATCTTAGAAGAAAACCCAGCCAATAGTTTGTGGCCTTGGGATCTCCCTTCATTCCCTCCTGGTACAGGCTTTTGAGCATCAGCTCAGTAGCAGGCCCAGGGCTGGTGTCCCTTTTCTCATTGGATTGGGCTCTGTGGAACTGTGTTTACCCGCTCAGCTGTGTACTTAAGCAGCATCAATCTGGCATACAACTCAGAGGGACCTGGTCCTGCGGTGCCCTCAGGGATTCCTATCTGGCCAGAGTTGTGCCTAGGTGACTGCATAACAGGAGGAGTTAAATCTGTGGAGAAAGCACAGTCACACCGATTACATGCTGTTAGTGACCTGCAACCTCCTATGTTCTACACAGAGAAAGACTAAGAGATGGAGGTAGGAAACCTGGTCTCCCAGCTTGTCTAGAGACAATAGGTGCCCCAATGTTTCCATACAACAGTAGCATGGAGGACCCTCTTCCCAGGTAGGGATGGAGGAAATTTTGGGAACTGATTAATAATGAATACATGTAACTTCCACAATTTCCTGAATCTGAAGGTCCTAGAGCACTTGACAGCCTTGACCATTTGTCTGGTCTCTCAACTACCAGTTAGCAGATGGGGCTGGTAAGAAGAGGTATCCAGCATCCCCTGTGTCCATGCAGCAGGTCCACAAGCAGAACCAGGGCTAGAATCCAGGAGCACTGACTCCCAATCCCTTGCTATGGCCACTAGCCTTTGGGAACAGGATGAGAAGTTATAGGCATAAGGGAGATTTAGGTTGGATACCAGGCAAAACTTCCCAACTGCCAGAACAGATAAGCACCGGCAAAGACTATCTGGGTCAGGTAGGCCTTGGACTACTTAACCTCTCAAGGTGTCTTTCCTATTTTCTCATGATTCTAAGCTTGTTTTCCCTTTGTGAGGAAGAGGCTGCATAACCTAAACAACTTTGAGGTTTACATATGTGGGAGAGCCAGAGAACAACCCCCCTGACCCGAAAACACGAGGCTGACTCCCCTTCATGTTGTTTCCTTGCTGGGAAGTGTTTCTGCTCACAGCGTGGACAGGAGAGGGTCTTGGCTTGAGCACCTGATTTGGGCAGTAACAGCATTGGACTGTTGGGAAGCTTTTCACGCAGCTGTTCGAGCTGTCTCCTCTGATGAGCCAAGTTCAGGCGCTCCTACTCCATCCCCAGAAAGAGAGAGGAGGAAAGGCCATGTGAATGGGTTGTGGCAGTTGACAGCAGAGAGAGAAAAATGAGAGGGGGAAAAGGGAAGGATCTCATTACCTGGTGCAGATGCTGCTCCTGCTGCTTCAATCGCTCCATTTGCTGTTGCACAACGTGCAGTCTCTCCTGATGCTCCGACTCTACCTTCCTGGCCTCTAGCAGGGCCCTCTCCCCCTCCTCGTACTTCTGCGAGGACAGCTGTAGGGCACAGGGAAGCCTGTGAGGACTGGGTGGGGAGGTGCAGGACGGCATACAGCTGGGGGCATGCATATGGGCACCTACCTGGTAGGCCCTGCCCTGTGCTCAGGTGGGAACATGTACACCAAACAAGAAGGGTTTCCATAAGCCTGCCAGTCTCTCTCACCTTCTCTTTGCCCACCAGACCAGCAGCAGGGCCAGCTACTTCTCAGCAACCTGGGTCTCAACCTGGGCTTGGAGGGATCTCCCTCTGCCCACTGTGACTGAGTGGGTTGCTCTGTATCCATGGCCACTCTGCCATGGTGCTTTACTCCGCTGATACTGCCATCATTTCACATGGGGCACTGATGGTACCAGATATGAATCTGAGTGGAGGTGCAAGATCCTGTTTGCCATCCTCAGCTCCTCTCCTTTCCTCCCTCCATAGGTCCTTTTGCTTTCACCCTGCTCCCTGGATCTCTTTAAAATGCTCAAAGTCAGGTCAATTCACTTCAAGGGCAAAGAACTCTCATGGCTTTTCTCTATGATGATACTAATACTTTGGGTGATGAGCTATAGGAGTTTAAAGCATTTTGAGGTCTTTATTGAGGGAGGAAGGGAGCAATCAATGCCTCCCTCCTCCCCCTTATGGACAGGGAGCCAAAGCAGAGAGAGAATTAAGTGACACACCCAAGGTCATTCCAGGAGTCTGTGGCAGAGTCAAAACTGACACTCCATTCTCAAGGCCCTAGACCACTGCTGCCTATTTCCCACTTTTCATCTCCTGGGAGGGAAAGGAGCATGGCTCTGGATGTCCAGGATGCAATGTGGGGAGAAGGGAGGGCAGGAGGTCCTTCCTACCTTGCTCATGCTGTCAATCTCCTCTGCCCTCTGTTTGATGTTCAAGGCAGCAGTGTTGACTCTTTCTTTCTCAAGTCTCAGCTCCTGCCTCTCCTGCTCCAGCAGTTCCCTCTCTCTTGCTAGCTGCTCCTCCTTGGCTCGCAGCTCGCTGGCTCTGATCTTCAGATCTGCCTGTTCCTAGAAAGAGAACCACACATGTAGTTCTGTAACAACTTGTCCCACCTGAATGCTCTCCCCAGGGAGATTGGGGATGAAAGAGACCCAGTTCCACATCCCACATTAACTAAAGGTCCTAGCTCTGGGTGGCAGAGAGAAGTTTCCAGCTAATATGCACAGCTTCCATTTACACTGCCCAACAGAAATCTGGGCCAAGCAGAGGAAAGGTGGTGAGGTTTCCCTTTACCCCTATTTTCTTCAAAGCCCTGTCTTCCCCATGCTGCAGGGATACAAGCTTCAGGCCAGAACTGTACATATCCAGTAGCCAGGGGGGTAACCAACATCTGCTAAGACTGCAGAGCTGCTCCACAACCAGCAGCTAGAGAGATAACAGGCTATCCCTCAAGTCCTGGATAGAGAGAACATGCATGAACACCAGTGGCTAATGATATTATCAGCAATAGTGATATTAATCCTGGATTGCCAGTCCTCTTCCCCAAGAATTTATAAATAACCTGCTCTTTGGTTGCTCTAGCACTTGCTTGTGTGGGGGCAAGATTTCTGTAGGGAACAGAACTAGGACCATAACTCAAAGGATAGGGAAATACGGTTTTATCGTTGCCATGTGAAATCTCTGGTGGGGTGACCTGCCTGGGAAGCTGTCTGATTGTCCAGCTGCTTTATCAAATCAGTTGCCAAAGCTGAATTCAAGCCCTGCAGTGGGACTGTGTTTTGCTACTGTACCTTGGCCAGAGTCATAATGGTGCCTTCCCTCTGGGAATCCATCTGCAGGGCACGGTCCACCTCCCGCTCGGTGCGCTCTTTGCTTAGCTTCTGCTGGGTGTGGAGCTCCAGCCACTCTGTGGAGAGCTTCTGCCGCTCCGCTGCACACTTCTGCATAACCAACTTCTGCTCTTCCAGCAAGGCACTCTGACAGAACAGAGCATGGGGGGGAGAGTCCTCCAGTGAAGGGAGATGTAGGTATGGTTGGCTTAGGGTCACAGAGACTGTCATGACTAAGGAACAGAGCTACAGAAAAACACACGTCTTGCCCAAGAGGAACAAGTGTGCCTGATGTTGGTCTCAGCTTCTGACTAACATGATTTTGTAGCATTGTGGTCTATCACTAGAGTTCCAGGCACCAAATCTCGGCCTAGTACCACATCTTCTCACGCCAAATATTCCACTCCCATTAGCTTAATAACCCCATGTGACACTGAAATCCACACAGATTTCACTCTGGGCTTGCCTCTGTTGCAAGTAAAAGCAATCCTGGCTCTAATGCCATTGGAATTAATGAACTCCTGGAGACCACTGTTTGGGTTAAATGCCTCACCTTTGCCCTCTCCAGTTCTTCCCTCTCCATGGCGAGCTGCTGGGTCATGACCCTCCTCTGTTCCTCTAGCGAGCGCTGTAGAGATTCTACTTTGGATTGCTCTGCGGTGGCTCGCCAGCGTTCCTACAGTATGGAGACAGCAGCAACATGAAGGGAGCAATGCACGGGCTGTATGTGCTCATGGTGGGATTATGCCTCAAGCTGACATTGATGCTTCACCACCACCCTTTTCTTGGGCTTCCAAAACTCCAAGGCCTGGGTTTTGTTCGCCACCTGGAAAGGTTATTTTCAAACTCTCCCTTCCCCCACAAACGGCTGTTACAGGATGGAAAATGTGATTGTTCCACCCCTGCCTCAGGTCTTCTTGTTCCACCTGCTACTGGGATGTTGAGTTGTGGCTTTTTCACACCAGGTGGTCACAGTTTCCCCATTCTGTGAGAACATTATGAGAAAAAATTCCTTGAGTCTTCACCGTAGGAGTGGTTAGGACTTCATTAGGCCATTCAGAGCAAAGCATTCTTGTTCTCAAATACAGACAGAGCTGGAACTCATTTGACACAGGGGAAAGAATGGAAGCTGTGGAGCAAGAAGCCCAGACCGGAGGATGATGATGTTCCTGCCTTGGTGGGAGCCCTCAGGGAAATGTCTGCATTATATACAGAGGGGGAAAAGGTGCAGGCTCCTCCACCAGAGCCAATGCTGAATGGAGGACATAGACTGTCCACCTAAGCTCACCTGCTCCAGGAGCCGTGTCTGCTCCCCTAGCCTGGCCTCCATTTTGGCAATGACCCCTTGCAGCCGACCCCGCTCGTCTTCCATATCTCTCTGCTGCTGTGTC